TGTTTACCGGGCCGGATTAATCCCAACGGTCAACAAGAGATGTGAGCTACCCCCCGAATACATTAAACCTAACCCACGGGGTGGAGTGGGCTTTTCCCTCCTCGGGGCAGAGGTTCTGCTCCGGCGTCAATCCCCAGGCGGGCACGGCCACTTCGCCGCGCACAGCCCAGGCGCTGGCGGGCTGGTGCCGCTTGTGCTCGCTCTCTGCTAACATGTGATACTGGGCTGCCCAGTCCTTTCACGACTGCTTTTCTGCAGCCGCTCGGTTACCTTGATATCTAACATCCCGATGGGCTTCCCGCATCCATCCAAAGGACGGTCTCTCCCCATGCACACCCAGGTAGACATTAAAGGCCGCGTGTCTGCGGCACAGTTTCTGTGCGTGAGGTGAGACCAACGTGCCACCGAGCCGGGTTTGGGAGCCGGAGCCCGCTCTCCCGTGGCAGATGTAGGCGGTGGCCCAGCGCGCTCCGCGGCAGGGCGGAGGGGCGAGGCACGGGAGTGAGGTCAGCTTTCCTCTGCGGAGTGTGGGCTGACCTGAAACCCCGCCAACACAAAAAGGCAGGATTTCTTGCAACAGTGAAACGGGGGTGAGAAAACAAACAAACAAACCAACCAAAAACCCCAAACCTTTTAAATAATCCGGGACGCGAGTTTAAACGATAAGCGCAGAGAGACGGACGGATACAGCCTGAGGTTTTGCTTTCAGCCATATCTGGGAACATGCACAGACCCACAGGGAAAAAAAAAATAAATCTTTTCTCTCTTAAGCTCGTGGCCGGGGTATTCCTGCTGTTTCATTGTTGCAATTCAGTAATATTCTCTAAAAATCCCATCCCGGATCCCCCCGATCCTTTAGGCTACACACTGGCGATTCGCTTCTTTGCATCTTCCCCAAAGGAAGGGGGAAACAAATAAAAGATAGCTGTGCGGAGATGGCGAATTCCTGTCCGTTTCATACTCACAGGGATAGTGATTTCTGTCTGTTTCTATCCACCCTCGGTACGGCGAGCCGGTGTAGTTGTCCGCTGAGTGTTGCTGGTCAGAGGCTTGCTTTATGCTATTAGCATCCTGCTCTGGTAAATCCAAAATGCTCCTCACTGTAAAACTGATCCTGCCAGATGTGGCCATGGTAGCTTGTGCACACCTCCCCCCCCAAAAAAAGCTATCACCCAAAGCCCCGAATCCACTCCCTTAAAAGCTGCGAGGAGTAGACTGCGCTCAGTTACTGGGGAATCTCCCGGTTCAAGAGGACCTTCCCTTCCATCGCCAGCTAACCCCAAATATTAGTGTCGTTTACAGAGGTGTCCTGTTTATATAAACAGTCCTCCCCGCTGCAAACAGTGCCCGCTTTCAAACCGTCCCTGTCTATAGGATGCTAAGTACCTGAATTAGTCAAGTGCTAAAGCCCTAATGGGAGTAGGTGTAACCCCCCTTACCGCCACCCCCATGAGAGAATAACCCGTTACCTCCCAAAGACAGCAGGAAACAGGCTTCATCATTACATATTCTGTCTGATTAGCCAAAAGTGGGGACAGATAATGGTAATTGTTAGCAGTGAATAACATCTTGGGTGGCATGTGGATGACCAACAACCACCCCCCTCCATCCGCAACCAAAGCCACCAGCGTCCCTTCTATCCGCAGACAAAGTGAATCCTCCCAGGACATCCGCAGAGCCTGCCGAGAGCCCCCTTCCCGCTTCTCCCTCTTTATTTCCCTTGCTCTCTCTTCTCTCTTTGGACCTGGAAGGAATTTAAGTCGTTATTTGTTTGTTGGGTTTGTTGGGTTTTGGTTGTGTGATGGGTTTCTGGGTTTGGCTTTTTATCTTGTTGCAGTTTGGTTGGTTTATTTGGTAGGGGCTTTTTTTTTTTTTCCTCCGGCCTATTTGCCGTTCTCCCGACTGTCATTGGCAGGTTTCCTACCCTCGGTGGGGGATTTTCCACACCTGAGCTATCGGCGGGGAACGCTGGCATAATGTGCGTTTGAGGGGATGGTATCTCCGGGTTTGTTTTTTTTTTCACCTCGCCTGGGCATGGTGGATGGAAGGCGCACCTTTCCTGCGAGAAGGGTGATGGCGTGAACTTGGGTGGAGAAACGCGGGGAGCCCGACACACTGTCCATAAGCAAGAGTGGGGAGAGAGGAGGGGTAGGGGAGATGTTTTTTTGGCACCATTTGGCGTTGTACTAGCCCACGGGCAATTTGTGTGAGTCATTGAAACGATTCCAGCTGGGAGAAAGGGAGAAAAGATCAAACACGGCGCGTTTATTTATCCGCACATCTCCCGTCCCCGCC